CGTTGCTTACGAATTAGTTTTTGACATAACCCACAAAGGGACACAAACACATCCTTATAATTTTAGTTTGATTCATGATTGATAACATTTTTGAATTACTAATGAGTTAGACCATTAACTCAAACAAAATCAATGGTAACTCATGTCACCAATCAATCTAGATCTACAATTACACTCTAGAAGTCAATTGTCGTTGATTACAATTTGGGTTTGCTGATTAGTTTGCCTATTTGGGCTGCCCACAGGTATAGATCAGCATACCACTGAATGATTTTATTGAAACAAAAGCGTTCACAATTGTTCTCCATATTGTTTTCAAACACCTAAAATTATATCACCCGAAAAGTGTGTGAATAAAATCATCCTAAGTAAAATGAAAATTATGAGTCCATGCGTATGTGGCAAATAATACTTAGTAAAGGTAAGAGAGGAAATACAACAAATATACAGAACCAAACAATTGTTCATACTTGCTTGTACTTTTTTTCCGAACTATGATGAACATAGTGGAGAAAATGTTGGTGAGTTTTGCATTATCAACGTCTATACAACAATGGAGCGCGGAATCCCAGTCGAGAATATTCGTATAGATAATCTTGGACATTTATATTGACCAGTAGTAACAACAATGATAATGTATCAAATTTTAGCAATACAAAAAAACAATGATAATGTTGGAAAAACAACTTAGAGGGACTTTTTTTAACAGGCCAAATCAAGCCTGTTGCGAAAATTCGAAACATGCTCATCAAGCCACATACTCAAAACTTATGTGTTTTATGGGCCATACTAAAAATGATGTCAATGTTTAGTATTATTTTTTGAATGCGATATTTTCTAAAGTTTGATTTTTCCCTAACTCGGAGTTGGTTGATTGCTAAACATATTGGAATCGAGAGGATAAAGAGAGACTTCTTCGGATATGTGTATGGCAAAAATACTAGCAACCAACAATCCTTAACATCTAAAAAATTTAGGGGTTTGAGGACTTAAAACGTAATTTACCCTCTCCTTTTTTTTATATCTTTGACCAATGGCAAATTACCCAATTGAGTACAATTATGGACCGCTACACTGTTTATTACCGACCTTAAAGCTGCTACACACCAAAATTCATCCAAAATAGTATGTTCATTTTCAGTTTGTATAGTGTCCAAATAGTATTTTCATATTGACTTTGTAACTTGTTCAAGTTAATAAGGCAGATGTTTTTTTAAAAAGAAGCCAATATAATAACATTTCAAACAAACCGTCCAAGTTCTGGTGGAGGCCCAGATAGTTGGCTAAAACAAACGACGCCGTTTTGTGAAGTTGTTAATAAAAAAGAAAAAAAGAGAAAAAATGTCAAGATCTCCAAAACCTAGATCGTGTGAGTTCATTCTTCTGCTTATCTTCCTCTGTTTTTTTTTTTCTTCTCTCTTACTCGGATTTGGAAAAGAGCCCCTTTTTTTTTTTGTTTACTTGTATAAAAAAGTAAAATTTATCAATTATTCATCTTCCTCTGTTTCGTCTCTCTTACTCAGATTTGGAAAAAGAGGCCAAATTTTCCTTTGCTCGTATAAAAAAGTATTTTTTATTTATTTATTAAGGATTCTTGCTCCTAAATGATTAAGTAGTAGGGATATAGGTTTGTTCTTAATTCCTCTGTTTTTTGTTTATGTTTTTATAAAAGAGTAAAATTTATCAAAGTTTCCTGCTTGTAAATGAGCAGCAGGGATTTGGGAAGTAAGTGGAAATTAGACATTGCAAATTAGTTGTTATTATGGGTATGTCTCTAGGTCTGGTTTGGGGTTTTCCATGGAAGAAGAGGTCGTTAGGAAGATGCAGAGGAAGAGTAAAAGACGAAAAAGAGACAATTTGGTTGCGCCAGAGATATGTTCAAGTGCGTCTCAAAGCTCTGGTTTTCTCTTATACGTTCTCGATTCTTTAGCAACCGTTATAGTGCGGTCGCATCTCCACCACGACCAACTCGTCGTGTATACATGAGTTTCATGGAGCACATCTACTGTGAATCAATGGATCTCTGCCCCAAACCAAGAAATTCTCTACTGCAATTGTTCTCATCATCGTCCTTGTCGTCGAAATTCGACAAAGATTCGAGCTTGCCAGGGATGGGAGGACGCATCAATGTCGTCTTTCGAGGCTTGCTTTTATACAATGTTTGCAGAAAGGCGTGTATCTACAATCCCACCAGCAGACAAAGGGTGATCTTACCAATTGTTGAATCCAACATCTTTGCTCAAGATGAATTTTGTAAGAATGTGGGTTACTTTTTCGGATACGATCCTGTTCTTGATCAATACAAGATTCTCTGCACTGTTGTGATATCATCTGAAAAACTCGAGAGGATAACCTCAGAGCATTGGGTCTTTGTACTAGAAGCTGGAGGTATGGTCAAAACACCTCATGCGGTGTTCAAATTTCCAAGTGCATGATGCTTTCACTCTTATCCATATCCTTGGAACAAAAGTACGATGTACTAAACCAGGTTTCGTATTCTGTATATAGTGTAGAGAAGAAAGTATACAAGATCATCAAGTCATTAGAGTAGACAAGATCATCGAGCTTATTACTAATCTTAAATATTGCTAGAGGGTTGGTGTTTTTGGGGATGCATTGCAAAACCAGGATATGACTGGGCATTAATGAATCTATACAGACCCTCATTTCATTCTATTTCTAAAGTTCATAGGACTTGCAACGAGCTTCGTTTAGCTAATCGGTAGATCCAACCATTTCTTGAATTCTCGTATATATATACAATGATTTGCGCTATTGCTGACTTTCTGATACTGATAATGCACTGCAAACGGATATGTAAAATGGTTTTGTCATTCTAGGCTTGTTCTAGTTTTGATATTTGTTAAATACTGAAGTAATAAAATCAGGAACTGAGACATTATCTAGTGACTCGAACTTCAAAAGACGAATTTAAAGAAAAGAAAAGCTACTTAGCTGATTCGCTTGCTCTATTATGTTTCTTCTTATACTTGAAACATAAAGCGAGCGGAAGTTAAAAGTGTTTGTGTAAATCTTTAACTGATAGTGAAATTATGCACATATTTTTTTTTTTTCCTGAAT